ACAGTTTCAAAGCTGAAAGGAAGTGATTTTAAAAATTAGGGATAATTAGAAAAATAAGTCAAAATTTAAAAAAAACAAACCTACGCGGAAAATTACTTTGGACAATAATGTTCAACTTATGCTACAGGATAGTGAAAACATGTGGCTCATAAGCAGCAGTGAGGGGCTGGGGAGATGGCTCATTAGAATAAGCGCTTGCCTGGGGCCTGAGTTCAATTCCCAGTTCTGCCAAAAATAAATAAATAAACATAGCTTTTGGGGCCGGGGAGATGGCTCAGTGGAATAAACACTTGCCTGGCAAGCGCAAGGGTCTGAGTTCAATCCCTGGTTCCACCAAAAAAAAAAAAAAAAAAAAAAGAGCAAGATCAGGCGAGGTGGTGCAGGCCCACAATCCCAGCACTCTGGGAGGCTGAGGCAAGAGGAATAAAAATTTGAGGCTAGCCTGAACGACTCAGTGTTAGCGAGCTCCTGCCTCAAAATAAAAAATAAAAGGGGCTGGGGATATAGCACAGTGTGAAGGCCCTGGGTTTAATTTATAGCGCTCTATGTATGTATGTATGTATGTATGTATATATTTTATGTATTTAGTACAGGGTCCACAGGGTCTCACTATGTAGACTGGACTTGTAGTGCTCCACCTGTTTACAGCCTCCCAAGCGCGGGGATTACAGGCATGCGCTACCACGCCCAGTCTCAGTGCACCCCGGGTGGCAGGGCCAGCATGGCAGGCCTGGGGATCGAACCCCTGGCCCCTGCGTCTGCCTAAGCAGGCACTTCAATCTGTTGATCTACCAGCTGGCCCGTCAGTACTATATTTATTTATTTTTTTTTTATTTTTTATTTTTATTTTTTTTTTTACGATTGAACATTCTTTTATTAATTTTGATTAAAAAGCAAATACAAATGAGACAATTTCAAAACTGATTAGTAGGACAGTTTCAATAACTGATACATTGCAAATTGCTCTCTTCATAGTGGTTATTTATAGTACACGATGCAGACATGTTATCCTGTCCAAACACTGTCCATCCAAATCTTTC